TAAACCATATGAAATTCCTGATATTGACCAATTTTAATCAGCAAAAATGACATCATGTAGTTCAACCTAATGGTAATAACTGTGTTTGTTTGTTTCTTAAATATCTTTGCTTGTGATCTTTCCATTCCGTTTAATGTACAGCATCCAGAAACTTGAAATAAAAATATGATGAAATTTGTTTCAAAATTCAATCGCTAACAATATCAAGAATTTGCTCACACAATCATAGGAGTCATACAACTAAAACTGTTTTATTCAAGCTTCCAACTCTCACTAAAAAACACTGTAAAGGATGTATATCAAGTAGAAGGAAAATTATATCACATCAATGGGCTGTGTTGCAAGAAGAAATGTGAGAAAATGTACTGGCACATAAGTGGGTAAATTAAAAAAATAACTCAGTATACAATATAATAATATTTTCTGATTTGGGAGGGATTAAAACTAGGAGACTAGATAACGGTAATACGTAAGTTGGGAGGCAGGTGATCCCAGTAAACTGCTATAAGGTCTTATATCATTCTGCAGCATGATCAAGATATTGATGAACTTCACATGTCATTAAGATAGGCAGGCATGTTACAATAGCTTGAGTAATTACTAAAACAATGGACATATGGCGTAGAACTTCCAAACAAATAAAGGGATAAAATGGAATGAGGGAAAAATCCTTCATTAATCTGAAGTAAGAGAAGAAAGAAGGGAAAAAAAGAGAGAGAAATCAATACCTACAGCGCATGAATAAGAAGACAGCAATAAATGCGCATATATTAGAAATCATGTGAATGCAAATGGGCTAAACCCTCTAGTCTAGTTAGTTATACGAAATTGCCGTCCTGGTTTTAAAACATCCAGCAGCTGTCTGCTACTTATAGGAGGTACATCTAAATTTAAAGACTCTGAGGAATTGAAAGACAAAGGACATATCAGGTAAATATTAACTAAAAGAAAATGGGTATGGAAATAATAATATTAGACAAAATGACTTTAAGACAAAAATAAGTCACACAAATAGTAATAGTTTAACACTAAGCATAATAGCCATTGAATTCACTAAGTATACAATTCTAAACTAGTATAAAGCTAAAAACATAATTTCAAAATATATAATGTAAAAAATGACAACTACAAGATGAAAAATAGGCAAGTTCACCATCAGAGTGGAAGGATGATGTACCTTTTATACCAGCAGCAGAAGGCTTAGCAGGGATATAGAACATTTAAACAACACAATTAGCAACCTTGATCTAATATACACAATATCTACATGGTCTTCTTGAATTCCTTGCCCTCTTTTCCAGAGGAAGGGGGAAAGCTGACTGCACAACTCCCTGTTTCCACGAATACATCTAGTCTTCTGCTCACATAGACTGCCAGAGCAGTGTGGGAATGATGGAGGCACAGTCAGTTCTTGACAAGCCCCATGGATACTCCTGGCTGGCTCCCTTTCTAACTAAGGGGTGCATAGTGCCCGAAAATCCATGACAGCAAGTAAAGTCCAATTCCACATTCTATCATGCTTAAAATGATTGCCGAAACTATCCCAAACAGGACAGTGCCAATACACGTTACACACATCCTTGTCATCGCACTGTACGCTATTCTGCCATTAGAAGAACTATGCCAAAGAGACATCGTTGGCATTTCACTGAGCTAGCACTTAGCTGCCTGGTTTTAAGTGACCAGACAAGTGAACTCCTGAATTTTAATCCAATGACACTGTGCAGAGTTAAACAATCCCTAATCATTAGTATCTTCTCAAGATTTTCAAACACTGCATATGCATAGAAATAGGGGATGTGTTGAGAGCTGGGGTATAGTCTACACAAAAGGAGGTTATTAACCTCGCCATTTCAATGTGTTTAAAACTGATTCACAGGTATTATGAGAGTGTATGTTGGGTTTTATTAATTTTTTAGATAGTTAAAAAGACAGTTAAAAATAAAATCAGGGGCCCGCCTGGTGGTGTAGCGGTTAAGTTCACACGCTCTGCGTGGACAGCCCAGGGTTTGCAGGTTCAGATCCCAGGTGCAGACCCACACACCGCTTATCAAGCCATGCTGTGGCAGGCATCCCACATATAAAATAGAGGAAGATGGGCACGGATGTTAGCTCAGGGCCAATCTTCCTCAGCAAAAAGAGGAGGATTGGCAGCAGATGTTAGCTCAGGGTTAATCTTCCTCAACTAAAATAAATAAATAAATAAATTAATTTAATTAAATCAGATATTAACTATAGTAAAACCCCCTGAAGCACTCTCAGCAGAGCACAGTTAAGAAAACCACCAGTCTATGATACAGAGAATTGCTACATGAATACTTATACAGGAAAAGCAAAATACACTTACAATGAATATTTCCTACTAATGAGTTCATTTCAGCCATCATGTGTTTATTCATCATGCCAGTCACTCTGGGGTCATATTCTGCCACCAAGTTTTATAATCCAAGAACATTCACAAATAACAACATATACACACACGCGCGCGCACACACCCCATGGATGACCCAGTGTGTTTAAGTACTATGTATAGTAAAAGTTTCTGAAGAAATTTATTCATTGATCGGTTATTAATTCAAGTAATATTTTTAAAGCTTCTACCAAGTGTCAGGCATCATATTAGATACTGGAGATGCAACACTGACCCAGACAGACAAGATTTCTGCTCTCATGGAGCTTGCATCCTAATTTAGGAGACAGGCAAAATCAAGAAAAGAATGAATGAATAAGATAGTTTCAAAGAGTGCCAAATTCCTTGAAGAAAATGAAACAAGACTGTCTACTAGGTGCGGTTTTGCAGCTTCAGCACTACTGATAGATTGTGCCAGGTAATTGTTGCTGTGGGGGCTGTGCTGTGCATGGTAGGATGTTTAGTTGCATCCCCAGCTTCTACCCACTAGATACCAATAGCACCTTCTCAGTTATGACAGCCAACAATATCTCCAGACATTGCCAAATGTCCCCTGGGGGAAAAATCATCACCAGTAGAAACCGCTGTACAAGAAGGACTGGAATGAGAGTGGGATTTTCTTTATTATTATTGGATGGTCAGGAAAGACTTTGAGGGCTTAAAAAAAAAAGCAAGCCAACCAGGAAATGATTTTGGAAGAAAGTTTTCCAGGCAGAGTGAATAGTAAGTCCTAAGGCAATAAGGTGATAATGAACTTGGAGTCCTAAAGGAACAGACAGAAGGCTCGTGTGACTAAAGCATAGAAGTAGGAGAGGGTATCAGAGAGGTGACAAGAATAGATCACAAGATCACATAGAGCCTTACAGGCTATGGCAGAGAGTTGAGATCTGTTTTTAAGTATTTTGAGAGGTTTCGATGAAGAAGAGAATCTCTGATTAGCTGTGAAGAAAGAAACATTCCTAACTAGACCTTTAAAGGTAGATAGGCCTGGATTTTTACAGGCTGGGATGAAAGACAGAAGTACTCCAGGTAGCGATAAGGGATCAGAGATGAGAAAACCTGACTGGGGTGGGGCAAGGGATGTACAGAAATGGAATTCCAGAATTGTCAGAAATGTAGAATCTAATGCAGGAAGAAGGAACTTTTGAGGGACATCTACCATTCCAACTACCGCTGGGACAACAGCTCAGAGGAAATCTCTCAAGGAGAGTGTGTTCTAAGCAACATATTGGCAGCAGCTGTGAGCTGTGGGACCCACCGCATGTGTATGGACTCTGCCTGAGTCCCAAACATGCCCCTTAGGGAGTGGTGGCCCAAAGCCAAGCTCAGGGCCAGCTACCCCACAGGAGCCAGAGACCAACAACCCGAGATAGGGGACTAACAGCACAACGATGCAATGACTTGATTCCAAAATATTCTTGTTAGAGGCTTACAGAGCCAGCACTTCCAGACCAATGGAGACAAAGATAATAAACTTTAGCTCTTTCTTCCAACTTCCTCATTGTTGTATTATCACTACTGTTTTTTAAGTATTGGCATGTGTAAGGCATTTTTCTAAATATCTTCTCTTCATTTTCTCATTTAATCTTCTGAACAATCCTATGAAGTAGATTGTCTTATTTTCAGCATTAAATAAAAGGGGCCACTGGAGCCTAGAGATGTTCTGTTACTTGCTCGTGGAATCTGAAATCTAAGCAGTCTGACTCAAGTCCCATCTCTCAATCACCACAGAACATTGAGATAAAGCAATCAGTATCATATACTGCTCAGATGAAGGAAATGACAAAGATGAAATCACTTGCCAAAGGCCATACCCAGCGAATGCCTGTTTGAGGAACAATTGGTAATAAATTGCTAGTGTTTGAACACCTACCTGTGCCAGTTATTTTTCTAAGCACTGTATATGAATTATCTTGTTTAATCATCATGAAAAGCTGTGATAAAGGCCTTATTAGTTGTCTCAATTCATAAATGAGGAACCTGCAGGCTAGAGATCTAAAGTAACTTGTCCGAAGTCACACAGCCAGCTAGTCGAATTGAGATTGTAATTTAGGCACTAAAATACCCAGGCCTTCACTCCTAACACTAAATCACAGAACCCAGCTCTCTCCCAACAACAAGGAACTGTTTTAGCCACTCTTCTAATGTTATTTGGTAAAAATAAGATGTATGATTTAAAATAATCAAGTGGCAGACTGCTGTTATCTATGTGTTAGCACACTTCTCACACCACCAGTGTGACATAAGAGATTGACCCAATCTGTTGGTGACCCAACCTGTTGAAAAGTGTGTATTCTCAAACAAGAAAATTGGAGGTATTAAAAGGCATCTCTCAGGCTGGCTCAGTGGCATAGTGGTTAAGTTCACACACTCTGCCTCAGTGGCCCAGGGTTCACGGGTTCAGATCCCAGGCGTGGACCTACACACCAACCATCAAGCCATGCTATGGCAGCATCTACGTATAAAATAGAAGATTGGCAGGGATGTTAGTTCAGTGACAATCTTCCTCAAGCAAAAAGAGGAAGATTGGCTAACAGATGTTAGGTCAGGGCCAATCTTCCTCACCAAAAAAATAAATAAATAAAAGGCATCTGACATGAAGCCGTGAAAGAAAGCCAGTAACTGGCATCAGAAGTTGCAGATTTCAGTCCAACTGTATCATTTACAAGCCCGGTGGCCTTGAGCAAGTCACTATAACCGCTCTGAGATTAGGGCTCTTCATTACACAAGAGGCAACATAATCCTGACCTTGGCTACCGGGCAGGTTGCAGTGCAGATCAATAAAACAATCTGCACATAGGTGGTTTATGGACTGTGCAGTGCTCTAACGACATAGGGAGGCATTCATAACAGAGATGTCAAACAGCTAGTTACAAAGATGACTCTTTACTGAACTGGGGTTAGTGCGTCTCTTCTCTGTCCTCAGGTCTTACTGACAATGGCAGTGTGCTGAAGCAGAGCTGGTACAAGCCTATGTGTTCTGGAGCTAGAGGAGAGGCGAGGTCAAAGAAGCAAGATGTTTATGCTTGTGGCAGCTGCTCAAGATAAAAACTGAAAATTCTCAGCGTTTTAAAGTATTAAATCCAACCTGTCCGGATACAACTAGTGTGAGTGAGATAAACTCTGCAGGCCCAGTAGCAACTATCTTTAAAATCTTTAATCCTGATAATTATTACTATTATAACAATAATAGCAGTTCACGTATCAGTCAACTACTTTTGAAAACAGAATGGTCTAAGACTCATAGGCTTAAAAACATTTCTTTAGTCTCAGTTCTCTAACTGCATATTAGCTGAGGATTGGTTCATCTAGACTGGGCTCAGACAGGCAGCTCAGACTGCAGGCCCACTTGGCCTTGGCTTCTCATGGTGAGTTGGGCTCATGTGTGTTCGTTCTGGAACCCAGGAAAAGGGGCAGCAGCTACCTAGGAGAAAGGCTTGTTCAGGGCAATGGCAGAAGTGCAAAGTGCACGTGTGTGAGCACATTTCAGGCCTCTGATCTACGCTACCCACGTCAGTCATATTCACTACACACTCACCAAGCAGCTATGTACTGAGAGCTTTATCCCCGCTCTTTCGTAGAATCTTCACGACAATCCTGTGAAGCAGGGCCCATTTGTATCCTCATTTTAAAGACAAGGAAATGGAGGTAAAGAGAAATTAAGAAACCTTGCAATATCCTGCAGCTAGTAAACAGCAGAGTCAGGATTCCAGAGTAGGCAGTGCGACTCCAGGTACTATAAGATTTGACAGTACATTCTACTGACTGCTTAAATCTTAGTCCATCAACACTGCAATTAAAATGGGGCTAGTTTTGGGCTGGCCTGGTGGAGTAGGGCCAATCTTCCTCAGCAAAAATGGAGGATTGGCGGTTGATGTTAGCTAAGGGCTAATCTTCCTCACCAAAAGAAAAGGGGGCTAGTTTCAAAGTATTGAATATATCTGGGTTCCCATACCATATCACTAAAAATTATGTGAATTTTGTTTTATTTATATCATGAAATATTTGCTAGGCACAAAGCATATATATAACATGCATCTACCACATGATGCCTAATAAGATGAAGACATGAAATCACCACCCAAGAACTAGATTATTACCAATATCCTTGCATGTTCCTTCTCTGTGTCGACTTTCTGTCCCCTCCCTGAAGATAACCAGTATCTTAAATTTTATATTTATCATTCTCTTGATTTTTTAAGCATAGATTGATCACTTATGTCTGTATCAAATAGTTTTGCTTGGTTGAACCCTCAGCTCTGCTGCCACATGAATCTCTATAGTTAATTCATTTTTTATTGTTATATAATAGTGCATTTAGTGAATATATCAAAATATCTCAATTATCCTACCAATGAATATTGGCTTGCTTTTAACGTTATGCCATTAAAAATAAGGTTCTACAGACAATCTCACCAGTAATGTGTGAGGGATCCTGTTGTTCTACATCCTTGCCAAGAGTTGGCATTGTCACATCCCATAATTTCGGGGACATAAAACAATATTTTATTGTGATATTAATTTGCATTTCCCTGCTTACTAAGAAGGCTTAGCATAGTGTCATTAGGCAATCCACCACATATGTTTTCTGTCCTATGAACTGCTTATTCATGACCCTGGTAAGCTTTCCTGTTGGGTTATTTATCTTCTTTATTGATTCATATCAGTTATGTATATATTATATACAGCAGATTTATATAAACTTTGTCCATTATGTGTATTACTAATATCTTCTCTCAGCTTGTTTCTTGTCTTTTCCTTCTCTTTATGGTAAATAATGAAAAGACTTCTCAATCTTTTCCTTCAAGTTGTACTGGGTTGAATAGTGTCCCCCCAAAATTCACGTCCACTCAGAACATGTGAGTGTGACCTTATTTGGAAGTAGTGTCTTTGCAGATAGGATCAAGTTAAGATGAGGTCACAGTGGATTAGGGTGGGCGCGATACCCAATTCTTCTAAGTGGGAGATTTGGACAGACAGAGAGAGGAGACACAAGGGAGAAGGCCATGTGACAACCAAGGCAGACAGTGGAATGATGCCACTGCAAGCCAGGGAACACCAAGGAGCGCCATAAGTCACAGAGGCTAGGAGCAGGCAAGGAATGGTTCTTCCCCAGAGCATTCAAAAGACACGTGGGGCGTGGTGCTGCGGGCCACCTGACCCGCCACGCCGCAGCTGCCAGTCTCAGCTCTGGTCTGATGTGGGTCTGGACCCGCACACGGTCCCGATGTGTAGCCGACTCCAGGCTAAGATGGAGCAGGAGGCCGAGGGGCTGAGCCAGTGGCAGGTGGCTCAGCAGCAGCTGGAGGAGGATGCTGACAAGTTAATGTCCATCTTGGACATGTCTCCGTTTCCCGGAAGCAGTGGCGTGCACACCTCTTGGAACCATGGCCTGCCAGTCATTCAACACGTCCCTCAGTGCACAGAGCTGGAGAGGATCCCCTTGGTCTTTGTAGAGGCACCTAGGCAGAATGAGAGTGAAATGGGGCCACAGTTTAGTATGTTGCTGCCTGAGCGTGGTGTGAGCTACTACTCCCAAGTGACTCTTACTCCTTCCCAGATGATTTACTGTTGGGGAGTGTCTCCCTCCCAACCAGGAATGATGATTTTCAAGGAACCCCAGACGATGCCTTTAGGAGAGCCCGGTATTCCAGGGGTGGCCATGCCCTTCAGTGGGAATCTAAGGATGCCCCACAGTGGGCTAGTCCCAGCTCCTAGTGGAACCTCAACAATGTCCCACATCAGGGCATCAACCATGCCTTATTCTGGCCCCCCAACAGTACCTTCTAACAGAGACTCTTTAACACCTGAAATGTTATTGTCCCCAACCATGCCTTCCACTGAGGCCCAGGCAACACTCCCCTCTTTGGCTCAGATGTTAGCTGCTAGAGATCCCAGCGACCTTGGGATGTCCCCAGCTGGCTCCCCAACATTGCTGGCATTAGAATCCCAGGACACTCTTCTGAGCCAGCCAGCCTCCCAGGAAGACCTCTTCCTACCCAGGCAGCCCATACCTGCTCCGTAGAGAGCAGAGCAGAATTTCAGACCCCAGGAAAGGGCTCCCAGGAGGAGATCCCCAGTTTCAAGGCCTTACCACTGTCAGTATGAGAACTGTGGAAAAGCATATACTAAGCACTCCCACCTTGTGAGTCACCAACGCAAACACACAGGTGAGAGGCCCTATAAATGCACGTGGGAAGGCTGCACGTGGTCTTTCTTTCGTTCCGATGAGCTTGGACGACACATGCGGATACACACTAGATATCGACCGTATAGATGTGATCAGTGCGGCCGACAGTTCATGAGATCTGACCATCTCAGGCAACACCACAGGACTCATCTGCAGGTGCTAGGATCCTCAGACGCACAGGCCAGCAATGGACAGATACCTGGTCCTCCTGCTCCTGGTCTTTAGGTCAATCTCCTCTTCCTCTCATTTTGGCATATCCACCCATATCCTGCCTGCCTCTGACCAGCTAGTCTCTTTGGTAGGTGTAGGCGTAGAGGAAGACAGAGATTATGAGGCAGTGTTGAAGCCCACATGAGCTCTGGACCCGGTCAGGGACTCCTCAAAAACTGTCTTCTGCCGGGTTTAGCCACATGGGAAGACGGAGCAAAGTAGAGATTGGGAGCTTTATTAAAAAGCTCTTTATCATATGTCACTCCCCAGCTTGAAACCCTTTAGTGATTCTCCTTTGCCTACTACGTAAGAGCCAAGTGCCTTAGCTTGGTTGTCCATGGTTTCCAGGGCCAAGCTATGTCCAGATTCTGAATTTACCACTTACTAACCAGATGACCTTGGGAAAGGTCTTTGAGCACTATGCTGTGTTTCCTCTTCTGGTAAATGAGAAGAACAGTATTGGACCATTCAGGACACATCTATGCACCGAATCAGATTCCCTCCGGTACTCACCAGCCACATGCTCAGAGTTTCTGTCTCTTTCCACCACTTCCAGACTTGGATGGAATGCCCCACTACAGGGCATGGGATCTGGGATCTCAAGTAGCCACCAGCAACCCAGAAGTGTGGGGGAGTAACTGCTCCTGGGGTAGAGTTTGACTAGTGAAGATGGGAGAGAGCCAGGCAGATAGATTCCCTCTTCTTCCCTCCCTTGCCTGAATTGCTGCAAGGCACGATTTCTCCAAACAGTACAGCTAATGGGGAGACCTCCCAAGCAGCCAGTGACACACCTGCAGTGACTCTTGGACTTTAGTCATGAATCAGGACCCAGCCTGCTGTCAGCTTGCATTACCCCCAGCTCTTCCCTGCCTCGCTTCCCTTTTCTCACTCTCAATGCCTCGGGTTTGCACCACCCAAATAAAACATCAGTACTTTGTTCTCTTTGTAGGCTCTGTTTCCTAGTGACTTTGGGGTGGAGGACATTAGACTGGGGCACAGAAGGACGAACCCCACTGTAACTTCCCCTGCTCCCCAACCCCAAGTCCAGGTACCTGGACTTCCACATACGAGGTGTTAAAGGCCCTGTCCTGCCCTGCTGCTCCCCCAGGGGGAGGGGCATAATAACTATCCTGGTCATCAGCCAGCCAGTTAAAAACCTCATTTCTGGACTTAGCAGGCAATCATTTTATTGACCAGCAACTAATAGAAAGGAACTTGTGCAAGCTCTCAAGTGACAGAGCTGGGGTCCCAACCAGACTCTGTCTACTCCGGAGAGGATGCCTTTTACAGGTGTTTTCTGCACCCAGTCCAGTGCCAAGCACTGCCAGGAGATGGCCACAGAAGGGTGGTCAGGTCTGGTTCCCGTGGTGAAGAAACCGCCTTGGTCTAGGGGCTGAGAGGAGCACGTAGGTGCGGTGGCCATGCGGAAGAGGTGCTCCAATGGGGAAGGTCAGGCTTTCTGGGGAAGTGAACCTTGAGTGAGTGTGTGTTACACCTAGTAATCCCTTGAATGTGGAAATAAACTGAGTAGGTGAATGAAGAGGAAAGAGCATTCCAAGCAGAGAGAACGCTGAACCTGGCAGCTGCTCAGAGAGTCAACCTGAAAGCTTCCACTCATTCGACAAGTGTTCTTTGAGCCCACAACACACAGAACACCACCACTATGGGGACTCACGAGGGGCACAGAGACGAGGAGAGGATGTGTCAGAGAAGAAAGACTTGTCAAGGAGGTGCCTGAGTCACAGCTGAGGGCTCACGGGGCTTAGCTGGACCTCCCATTTCCTGGACGTCTACCCTTGGTCATGCCCTGTGCTGGACACTAAGGATTCAGGTGTGACCATGCCTTGCTGCAGGGCAGAGGGATCGCAGACAAAAATTCTGAAGGTGTTCAATGCTGCCAAGGACAGGAGCCGAACCTCTATGGACTCAAACTTATAGGCGTCTGGGGAAGACTTGGTTGTGCCTGCCCTGCCCCTCCCACCTCCACCCTGACCTTACCTGCATGGTCATCTTGGTCTATTCCCCTAGTGGCCCCAGCTTACCTGGGCTGGGCGTCCAGGTGCCTTCCTCTCAAACTCCAAGCAATGGGAGAGGACTTAAAAAAAAAAAAAAAAAAAAGAAAGCACAGGGAGTGCTATTTGTTACCCAGCTATCCCAGAGACTGAGGTTTTGAGTACACAAAGTCTCTTTCATTCTCACCTGGGCACTAGGTCCCTTTTGTGGAGCAGGGCATCTCAGGCTCAGTGGGCCAGGGCTGGTCTCTGTCTCCTCATCCCCCATACTTGGCTCACACACAGCCCTGCAGATAGGGTCAGCAGGCCAGGTTGCTTGTTGGGATGCAAGAGAGGCCTGTTGGTGACCCATCGCTTTCACTGAGGAATGGAAGGAGGAGGAGCTAGAGAGGGCAGGGGTGAGCTATGTACATTACAGTGGTGGTCGAAACAGGTCCCTGCCCTTGTGGAGGTCGCGATCTAGTGGAGGAGGGATGACAGGAATGTAGAGTGCTGTGAGGACAAGTATCAGAGACTTGCTACATTAGAGCAAAGGAGTTAGGAAGGCATTCGCTGGGAAGTGTGGTTTGAGCTCAGAGGTAGGGACTAACTAGGAGTTAGGCAGAGAAAGGAGGTGAGGCGGTGATTGGAGGAGAAGAAATCGATCTATCCTTTATCCAGCGATTACCCCATGGGAGGCTGGGGCTAAGGCTTTCCCAGTATTATCTTGTTCAACACAAGGCAGGCTGATGGGTGGGTAAGAAATTGTGCGCTCTCAAGTAAGACTAGTAGATTTCAAATCCTGTCTCTGCCAATTCCTGCCTTTGTGGCCCTGGGCAATTTACGTATCTCTTTGCTTCAGTGGGGCAAGATTGATAGATTCAAGCTGAAGAGAAAGAGAATTAGTCACACTTAAAAATGGATGGAGAGTAGTAGAAAGATTTAGGAGAGAGATTAACTCTGGTGATAATTAATTGGAGTTGATTGGTGAGGGAGTGGTCAAGGATGACTCCCGGGTTTATAGCTTGTGTTACAAGTAACAGGAGAATGAACAACTTCGTTAATTTATTTTTCTATTTTTTACTGTGATACTTATTATATGGGCAAAAAATATTTTGTATGTATACAATTTAAATAATAAAAAAACACCTGGGGTCAGCCCAGTGGTTTAGTGGTTGAGTTCTTGTGCTCCACTTTGGTGACCCAGGGTTTGCAGGTTCAAATCCTGGGCACAGACCTACACACTGCTCATCAAGCCAGGCTGTCGCAGCATCCCGCATACACAATAGAGGAAGATTGGCACAGATGTTAGCTCAGGGCCAATCATTCTCGCCAAAAAAAAAAAGAAGGTAAGAAAAAGCCCCACTCATTTACCCATTATGCCACTTAAAAAAGACATAGGAGTACATTTGAAGCCTTTGAGTGGCCCTCTCTGATCACATCCCCTCATCCTTCCCACAGAGGTAACTGCTATCATGAATTTTGGTTAATTTTGCCTTTGCCTCTCTGTTGTTTTTACCATATATGTATCTATTCTTAGACAGTATAGTGATTGGTTTTATGTGGTTTTGAACTTCATTCTGTTTGGGGTTCATTGAGCTTCTTCAATCCTAAGGTTAACAGCCAACAAAATTTGGAAAAAATTTGAAAAAAAAAACAAAAGACATGTGGGCCTGCAAACACCGTAATTTCAGACTTCTAGCCTCCAAAACTGTGAGAGAATGAATTTCTCTGTTGTAATCCTAAAGCTGTGAAGATCCTCTATAATCATCTTCTACAATTTTAAATACTTACCTTCACATACGTTTTTAATTCATGAAGTACTGATTTTGCTTATGAGCATGAGGTAGGGATCTCACTTTATTTTCTTTTATTTTTGGTTTTGTTTAGTCTTCTTCTATTTGGTTAATGAATTGTCCCAGCACCATTTGTGGAAAGGTTCATTTTTTTTTTTTTTTTGGAGGAAGATTAGCCATGAGTTAACATCTGCTGCCAACCCTCCTCTTTTTTTTGCTGAGGAAGACTGGCTCTGAGATAACATCTGTGCCCATCTTCCTTCACTTTATATGTGGGACGCCTACCACACCATGGCTTGCCAAGTGGTGCCATGTCTGCACCCAGGATCCGAACCTGCGAACCGCTGAAGGGAAACATGTGCACTTAACCACTGTGCCACCGGGCTGGCCCCGAAAGGTTCATTTCTTTTCTTGCATTAATTTGCATGGCCTCCATCATGTATGAAAGTGCTATATAAATGTGGGTTACTTTTTGGACTCTTGAGTCTGTTCCATTGGTCAATTTGCCTCTCACCCTATCCTGTGCTAATTATTGTAACTTTATTATGGTTCTTCCCATGTCATAGAGCTAGCACTTTCATCTTCTTCCTCTTTTTTTTTCTTCAGAAGTCCCTTGGTTATTCCTGGGCATTTGATCTTTCATTAAAATTTAAAATCAGTTTGTAAAGCTCCTCTGAAAAGTCTATTGAGATTTGGATTAGAATTTCATTTAATCTATAGAGCAACTTGGAAGAATTAATATTTCTACAATATTAAGTCTTCCTATTTGTAGAATTGGTTATATAATTTATTTATACTTTAAAATAAAGTAATAAAGTGTTATAATATTCTCCACATGTCTTACACATTTATTGTTGAATTTGTTCCTCAGTACCATATATTCTTTGTTGCTAACGTAACATTATCTTTTCAAAATTGTGTTTTATAAATTTTAAGTTGGTGTATATAAATGCAAATTTTGATTGTTGGCACGACATCCAATTTGCTAAATTCTATTATTGTATTAACTAATTTATATAGACCTCTCAGTTTTCTGAGGATAATCACATGCCAAAAAATGATGAGAGCTTGGTTTTTTCCTTTCTAATCCTTATACTCTTTGCATCTCTTTCTTTCCTTGTGGCACTGGCTGGGCCCTCCGGTACATGTTGTATAGAAGCAGTAAACGTGGGATCCTTATTTCGTTCCTAGTTTTAAAGGTAATGCTTCTGCTGTTTTGCTGCTACCAATTATGTCTGCTGTAGTTTTTTTCCTTTGATACTTTTAATAGATTAAAGAAATTCCTTTCTATTCATAATTTGCTAAAAGTTTTATCACAAATTAGTGTGGAATTTATCAAGTGCTTATTTGACATCTATTGAAATCATGTGGTTTTGATCTTTAAATAAATTAATATGGAAAATTATATGAATACACTTCTTTAAAAACCACTTTCTAGAGCTATGATTGACAATCAAAAAGCGGTGCCTATTTCATGTACGCATCTTGATGGATTTGGAGATACATCCAGAAACCATCACCGCAGTCTATACCATACACATATCCATCACTTCTAAAAGTTTCCTCCTCCCTTCTTCTTTATTATTATTTTTTGTTATAAAAGTGCTGCATGTAAGAGCTACCCTCTTAGCAAATTTTTAAGTATACAATACAGTATCGTTAAGTATAGGCACTACACTGTACTGAAGATCTCTAGATCTTATTCATCTAGCATAACAGAAACCTCATACCCTTTGACAGATACCTCTGTGGTTCCCTCTTCCCCCAGCCCCTGGCAACATTCTACTCTCTGCTTCTTTGGGTTTGACCATTTTAAATTCCTCATATAAGTGGTATGTATTATGTAGTATTTGGCCTTCTGTATCTGACTTATTTCACTCAGCATACTGTCCTTCAAGTCCGTTCATGTTGTCACAAATGGCAGTATATCTTTCTTTAATAAGGCTGAATAATGTTCCATTCTGTGTGCATACCACATTTTCTTTATCCATTTGTCTTTTGATGGACATTTAGGCTGCTTCCATGTCTTGACTATTGTGAATAATGCTGCAATCAACGTGTGAGTAGAAATATCTTTCAAGATCCCAATTTCAACTCCTCTGGATATATGCCCAGAAGTGGAATTACTGTATCTTTTGATAGCTCTATTTTTATTTTTGGGGAACTTCCATACTTTTTTCCATAGCGGCTACACCAATTTACATTCCCTGAACTGTACAAGGGTTCCCTTTTCTCCACATCCACGCCAATATGTGTTATCTTTTGTCTTTTAAATAATAGCCATCCTACCAGGTATGAGAGATCTCACTGTGGTTTTGATTTGCATTTTCCCGATGATTAGTGGTGTTGAACATCTTTTCATATACCTGTTGGCCGTTTATACATCTTCTTTGGAGAAATGTCTATTCAGTTCCTTTGTTTATTTTTTAATTGGGTTATTTGGTTTTTGTTCTTGAATTGTAAGAGTTCCTTATATTTTTTGGATAATAATCCTTTATCAGAAAAATGGTTTGCAAGTATTTTCTTCCATTTCTTGGGTTGCCTTTTCATTTTGCTGTTGGTTTCCTTTGTGGTGCAGAAGCTTTGAGTGTGCTGTAGTCCCACTTGTTTCTTATTGCTTTTGTTGCCTTTGTCTTTACTGTGAGATCCAACAAATCATCACCAACACTGACGTCAGGGAGCTTACCACCTATGTTTTCTTCTACAAGTTTTCTGGTTACAGGTCTTACATTCATGTCTTTAATCCATTTTAGGTTAATTTTTGTGTATGGTGTAAGATAGTGGTTCAGTTTCATTCTTTTGCATGTGACTGTCCAGTTTTCCCAACACCATTTGTTGAAGAAACTGTCCTTTCTCCTTTATGTATTCTTGGCAACTCTGTCATAAATTAAATGACCATAAATGCTTGGATTTATTTCTGGGCTCTCTATTCTGTTCTTTTGATCTACATGTCTGTTTTTATGCCAATACCATACTGTTTTGATTACTATAACTCTGTAATATAATTTGAAATTGGGGAGCATGATACCTCCAGCTCTGTTCTGCTTTCCCAAGATTGCTTTCTCTATTTGAAGTCTTCTGTGGCTCCATACAAATTTTAGGATTGTTTATTCTATTTTAGTCAAAAATGCCATTGGAATTTTGATAGAGATTGCATTAAATCTGTGGATTACTTTGGGTAGTGTGGACATTTTGACAATTTTTAATTCTTCCAATCCATGAGCACAGTATATCTTTCCATTTATTTGTGTCATCTTCAATTTCTTTCATCAATGTCTTATAGTTTCAGTGTACAGATCTTTCATCTCTTTAGTTAAATTTATTCCTACATATCTTATT